TAGAGATGAGGTTTCACCATGTTGGCCAAGCTGGTCTTAAACTCCTGACCTCAGGTGATCTGCCTGCCTCGGCCTCCCAAAGTGCTGGGATTACAGGAGAATTAGGAACTTTGGACATGAGATACAGTATTGCTTGTTTTCAGTTTTCATCTTCTGGCCCAGAGAAATCTGTACACCTTTCTCTGTGTCTCCCATCTGATGATGCAGGCAAGATACCTAGTGGGACCTTCCCTTTCAGCAGCCTAAGGACTAAGCCCTGTGCAGACTTTTAAGTCTGGCCCGTCACTGGTGTTCAACCTCCTTTGACACTGAGTTCAAGTTCAGGGTTGGGAATTCATATCTTTCCATGGGACGGGGTATGGAAAATCTTTCATCCCTAAACTATTGGCTAGTCCTTTCTGCTAATGGTACCCTTTGAACCACAATAGCTAGGCAAAGAATATCTGAAGTTGAGGTGCACTCAGAAAGCTGACATTACTGCTTGCCAAGTGAATGATTTGGCAGGAGGAGGGAGAGCACCCTGGGATTTGTCTGTCTTCAGGGGCCTAGTGCAGTGCTTTTCTCTTAAAGGATACTTGTAATCTCTCATTAAGATTCCAAGTGAATCAGCTTTGAGAGAAGAACAATCTTTAGGAGTTTGTGGGGAGGGAGTAGATGGCAGCACATGTTTTAGAAGAGGAGGAGGAGGAGGACGGTGAGAATATCTTCTGGTCCTAGAAGCTTGGCAGCCTTTCTTCGGCATCTTGTTCTGCCGAGTGACTGTCAGTCTCGGCAGATCCCCATGTGAGAACATTGGGTACCTACAGAATGGAACTGGTGTCATAAGCATCTCTCTGTTGAGGTTATTGCTCCCTTGAGTGCTCTAAGGCCTCCAGAGAGTATCCATGGAAAAGTCTGCAAAAAGCTGTCCCCGTCCTTGTCCATAGAAGGTGAAGAATCATCAACCTACCAAATATCATTTTATGTAAAAGGACAAGAAGCAGTCTCATAGTCTTAATGGGATTACATGGCAAAAGTGCCAGAATCATGGCAAGTGGTAAAAAAGGAAGCATTTTGTAAAATCCCACTGAGGCATGTTTACCAGCTTATGAAAGAGGAGTGGCTAGATGGGGCGTGGTGGCTCATGCCTGTAATCCCAGCACTTTGGGAGCTGAGGCAGGCAGACCACTTGAGGTCAAGAGTTCAAGATCAGGCTGGCCAACATAGTGAAACCCTGTCTCTACTAAAACTATGGAACTTGGCTGGGCATGGTGGCACGCGCCTGTAATCCCAGCTACTCGGGAGGCTGAGGCAAGAGAATCGCTTGAACGCGGGAGGCAGAGGTTGCAATGAGCCAAGATCCCAGCCTGGGTAACAGAGCAAGACTGTTTCAAAAAAAAAAAAAAGAGGAGTGGCTGGTCTCTGAACAGGCCAGCACTGCCCTGTCTCTTCCCAAGCACTTGTTTGCATTCTTTCTTTTTTGAGACGGAGTCTTACTCTGTCACCCATGCTGGAGTACAGTGGCATAATTTTGGGTCACTGCAACCTCCACCTCCCGGATTCAAGTAATTCTCTTGCCTCAGCCTCCGGAGTAGCTGGGATTACAGGCACGCACCACCACGCCTGGCTAATTTTTGTATTTTTAGTAGAGATCGGGTTTTGCCACGTTGCCCAAGCTCGTCTCAAACTCCTGACCTCAAATGATCCTCCCGCCTCAGCTTTCCAAATGCTGGGATTGCAGACATGAGCCACCATGCCCGGCCAACACCCTCACTTGTTTGCAGTCTTGAATCTTTTCCTATACCCTTGTGACCATAGAAAAGTTCAAGTTTTCTGGGTTCCTTGAAAAATCAGAATGGACTTTGACATGAGGTGGTTTTATTTTCTCTCACCAGTAATTGAGAAATTCACAGAAAATACCAGATTCTGTCTCATCTGTAACTATCTATCAAAAATCATCCCCGCCTTGCAGTCCCGGTGTACGAGGTTTCGTTTTGGTCCCCTGACACCTGAACTCATGGTTCCCCGCCTGGAACATGTTGTAGAAGAAGAGAAGTGAGTATTTTGTGAGCCACTGAGGATGCAGTGTAGTAGAAACAGGCTTCTGGGCTGGCTGGCTGCTTCATTTGTAGAGATGTTGGAAAATGACTTAGCAGAGTGCCTAACACAGGGTGAGCCTGGGGACCATCCGCTGCTGTCATTTTCTCTGCTGTCTCAAGGCCGTTCCTCATAGAAGTCATCTGGTTCTTCCTTTTTCTTGATTCCATCCTCCCCTGGAAGCTGTCCCAATTTCCTCCTACTCTTCTTTGTCATTGGAAACTGCATGCTGCCGAGTCCCTTCTGCAAAGATGCTTCCAGCCTTTTCAGACTAGAAGGGAAGGTTCTGAGACATCACATTCTGTGTAATCAGATGCCAAGCAAGTAGCCGACCTGAGCAGCTGCTCGTTGTAAAGGAGGAGTTTCGGCTGTGTGATCATGGATTGTTCCAGGCCTCTGTCCTCCCCAGAGAGAATTCAAGGCCACTGGCTTCATGGGAGAATGCTCGTTCCTAAGTACCAGCTGTTCTTTATTTTGGTTGGCTGTGACTACTAATGTGAAGCCCAGGTCCCTAAAAACCAGAGTGAATTCTAGATCATACAGATCAGGAGATTATTAACTCTTTTTTTTTTTGAGATGGAGTTTTGCTGTTGTTGCCCAGACTGGAGTGCAATGGCACAATCTCGGCTCACCGCAACCTCCGCCTTCTGGGTTCAAGCAATTCTCCTGCCTCAGCCTCCCAAGTAGCTGGGACTACAGGCGCGCACTACCATGCCCAGCTAATTTTTGTATTTTTAGTAGAGACGGGGTTTCACCATGTTGACCAGGATGGTCTCCATCTCTTGATCTCGTGATCCACCCGCCTTGGCCTCCCAAAGTGCTGGGATTATAGGCGTGAGCCACCGCGCCCGGCCAATTATTAACTCTTTTCCTCTCTTTCCTTCATTCCTTTAAAGCCTTAATCACTCCAGATCATCTTGTTCCTTTGGTGAAGGCTGGTGCTCTCAGGGGACCTCGTAAATCCCTTTTGCATATTTCTTTCAGAGTTGATATAAGTGAAGATGGAATGAAAGCACTTGTCACCCTTTCCAGCGGAGACATGCGCAGGGCTCTGAACATTTTGCAGGTATGGTCCCAGCAAATCTTTTTTTTTTTTTTTTTTTGAGACAGAGTCTTGCTCTGTCGCCCAGGCTGGAGTGCAGCAGCATGATCTCAGGTCACTGCAACCTCTGCCTCCTGGGTTCAAGTGAGTCTCCTTCCTCCTGAGCAGCTGGGATTACAGGCACCACTACCACTCCCAGCTAATTTTTGTATTTTTTAGTAGAGATGGGATTTTGCCATGTTGGCCAGGCTGGTCTCTAACCCCTGACTTCAAGTGATCCACCCACCTGGGCTTCCCAAAGTGCTGGGATTACAGGCGTGAGCCACTGTGCCCGGCCTGGTCCCAGCAAATCTTGTCATTGTTTTGCAATAGTGTTTCAAGAAAGACCTAAGCAACAGCATGAGCAATCTGTAAATTTAGAAATCTATAGCTGGTAAGACCTTGATCTCATAACCTGCTAGATTCCCCCTCCTCGCTTTGTATTCTGATTAATTGAAAAGAATCACTTGTTGTAGGCCAAGTATGGTGGCTCACGCCTGTAACCCCAGCACTTGAGGCCGAAGCAGGTGGATTGCCTCAGCCCAGGAGCTGGAGGCCAGCCTGGGCAACATAGTGAGACTCTGACTCCACTAAGAAAAAAAACATAAGCCAGGTGTGGTGGTGCACGCCCACAGTCCCAACTACTTAGGAGGCTGAGGCAGGAAGGTGACTTGAGCCTAGGAGGTCGAGGCTGCAGTGAGCCATGATCATGCCACTGCACTCCAGCAAGGCCCTGTCTCAAAAAACAGAGAAAAACAAAATTTTTATAAAACAAAAAGAATCAGTTGATGCAAAGAGGGCAAAGGGAGGGAAGGATTTGGCACTGTAATAGCCAACAGGCTATGGCATCCTCTGATGAGTGACTTCCCGCTGTTAAACACGTGGCATCCCAATTGTCTTGTGCCCGTGGAACTTTGCTGTCCACCCGCATTGCTGCAATTTCTTCTTGGCTCCCTGCAACTTGGTGGCTGCTGTGACAGCCACTGTGATCTCTCCTTTCCCTCTCTGTCTGCACAGAGCACCAATATGGCCTTCGGGAAGGTGACGGAGGAAACTGTCTACACCTGCACCGGGCACCCGCTCAAGTCAGACATCGCCAACATCCTGGACTGGATGTTGAATCAAGATTTCACCACCGCCTACAGAAGTATCCTTTCTCATGACCTCTGGCCACTGAGACCTGATGGTGGCCTTAGGAGTTCAGGCTGCAGCTAGCACCCACACCTTGCTGGGAAAGGATGACTGGCTTCATGTGACTCTGGTCAGCTTGTTGTGGGAATGAGATGTCTGTAGGTGGAGTGGGTACTTGTCTTTAACACTCCAGAGTTCTTGAAGGGCACTGGCCTTCAAGTCAGGGGAAGGCCTGAAGCAGCTTCACTCCCAGATGGGAGAAAAACTTAGGCCTCGGCATTGAAGATGCAGTAATTTTCAATTGGTCAGTGATAGTGATAGCTCTTGTGCTGTGAAATTAAAGGCTAGGAATGGTGATACGAACTCTTTGAAAATGCATTTGGGGCCAGGTGCGGTGGTTCACACCTGTAATCCCAACACCTTGGGAGGCTGAGGCAGGTAGATCACTTGAGGTCAAGAGTTTGAGACCAGCCTGGCCAACATGGTGAACCCGTTTCTACTAAAAATACAGAAATTAGCCAGGCGTGGTGGCAGGTGCCTGTAGTTACAGCTACTCAGAAGGCTGAGGCATAAGAATTGCTGGAAATCGGGAGGCAGAGGTTGCAGTGAGCTGAGATTGCACCACAAGGAAGGAAGGAAGAAGGAAGGAAGGAAGGAAGGAAGGAAGGAAGGAAGGAAGGAAGGAAGGAAGGAAGGAAGGAAGGAAGGAGGGAAGGAAATGCAATTGGCTTTATTCTCTAATAGAAGGAGATACATTTATCTTTCAGAAAGCCATTACTGAAGATGAAACAAAGAAAAAGAATTGGAGTCCAACACCTGTGTGCAGCTTCGAGTTGAAAGAGAAACAGCTGTTGGGACTAAAAGCCCTACTTTAAAAAGTCACTTGCCAGGGTTTGAATTCAAAATTCTCTGCAGTCTGTTTGTTCTGAACTTGTTCCCTTTGCCTTAACTAACTGCTCCTCTCTAGATATTACAGAGTTGAAAACTCTGAAGGGGTTGGCACTGCACGATATCCTGACAGAGATACACTTGTTTGTGCATAGAGGTAACTTAACGTTATTCCTGAGAAGCTGTGAAGAAGGTGACCTGCTTTGGGGTTACCGATGGTTAGAACAGGAGGCTTCATTCTTGAAACAAAGAAACGAATGAAGTATAAATCAGACCCTGTCTTTTTAGCAGTTTTGTCTTGACACTGTTTAAAATTTTGTTCCAGAGCTGGGTGTAATGGCTCACACCTGTAATCCCAGCACTTTGGGAGGCCAAAGCAGGCAAATCACCTGAGGTCAGGAGTTCGAGACCAGCCTGACCAACACGGTGAAATCCCATCTCTAATAAAAATACAAAACATTAGCCGGGTTTAGTGGTGCAGGCCTGTAATCCCAGCTACTCGGGAGGCTGAGGTGAGAGAATTGTTTAACCTGAGAGGTCGAGGTTGCAGTGAGCTGAGATTTGTCACTGCACTCCAGCCTGGGTGACAGAGCTAGAATCTGTCTTAAAAAAAAAAAAACTTTGTTCCAGAAACCGTTTTTTATATTGTTTTTATTTTTTTATTTTTTATTATACTTTTAAGTTTTGTGTGTAGAACGTGCAGATTTGTTACATAGGTATACACGTGCCACGGTGGTTTGCCGCATCCATCACCCATCATCTACATTAGGTATTTCTTTTTTTTTTTTTCCCGAGACGGAGTTTCACTGTTACCCAGGCTGGAGTGCAATGGCGCGATCTCGGCTCACCGCAACCTCCACCTCCTGGGTTCAGACAATTCTCCTGCCTCAGCCTCCTGAGTAGCTGGGATTACAGGCACGCCCCACCATGCCCAGCTAATTTTTTGTATTTTTAGTAGAGACGGGGTTTCACCATGTTGACCAGGATGGTCTCGATCTCTTGACCTCGTGATCCACCCGCCTCGGCCTCCCAAAGTGCTGGGATTACAGGCTTGAGCCACCGTGCCCGGCCTAGGTATTTCTTCTTATGGTATCTCTCCCCTAGCCCCCACCCCCCAAAAACCCTCTTTTAATGTCTAGAACTGCTAGGGAGAGTGAAAATACCTGGAGGCTAACTTTATTTCCTCTAGGGGTATTTTATAGCAGTAAGTAGTATATATTAATTCACATTTCTTTAAAAAAAAATACATATATGGCTGGGCATGGTGGCTCACACCTGTAATCCCAGCACTTGGGGAGGCCGAGGCGGGCAGATCATGAGGTCAGGAGTTCAAGACCAGCCTGTCCAGTATGGTGAAACCCCATTTCTACTAAAAAATACAAAAATTAGCCAGGTGTGGTGGCGCATGCCTGTAGTCCCGGCTACTCGAGGCTGAGGCAGGAGAATCACTTGAACCCGGTAGGTTCAAGATCAAGCCACTGCACTCCAGCCTGGGCAACAGAGTGAGACTCCCATCTCAAAAAAAAAAACCCAGCAAGTGGGAACCCAGCCTTCCAGATAACTTGCAGAGCTACCCAGCTGCTAGGAGCAGTGTGATGATCCTTTGGTGCTCTTCAGATCACTTTGGTATCTGCTAATTTTCCTTTTCCTTTTTGGCTACCCTATAAAGAATCACAAAAATAGAGTGGGTAAAATATATGAAACCAGCACGGTTCTTACTTCCTTAGAGGTGTATCTATGAGCAGGCTGAGGCCGCGCACCTAAGTTCGGTGTTAGGGATTTGATATTGAAACTCTTCTGTCCTCTGGGGGGTTTTTTGACAGTGGAGAGTGACAGACCTAACTCATTTCATTTTGTTTTTCCCGCAGTTGACTTTCCATCTTCAGTTCGAATACATTTATTGACCAAAATGGCAGACATTGAGTGAGTACTTCTTGTCCCAGTTTTAATTATTTTCCTCCTTTTTCCCCTGTTTATTTGTTTCCACTTTGTTGGTTTCAGTTTTTTTCCCTAAATCATTCACATATGGTAGAATCTGGTCTGGTGACATTGAATGGAATGAGGGGAACGGTGTGAGCTGCCTAAAGAACATGGGGATAAACTCAACGGTCAAGTTCAGATCAGTTACATATCTCAGATGAAGGTCTCTCCTTGGACCTCACAGGCTCGGCCACACTGATTCTGAAAATGCCCTTGGCATTTGGGAGGCCTGCTTCCGTTCAACCACCCAGCTGTTATTAAGGCATTCTGGCATACTAAAGCATATTGGGGAGTAAAGTAAACACAAACTCAATCTTCCACTTTGCCTAGTTCCATAAACACTGTTATTAGCCCCCAGTGAAGCCGGCAGCTATCATTTTAAGTAGACAGAGCATCGAGTTCAACACAGACGTCAGCATAGGCCAGCTCTAATCTGTGGCACTGGCTTTCACAGGCACAAATTAGGTCACCTCTCCTCATTGCCCTGTGAATATGACGATTTTGCTCTCAGTGACTGGGCATTTAAAAGGTGGCAAGATGAACTCCAGTGTCCTATTTTACTGACTAGACCACAGGCCCACCGATACAACAGCCAGACTTCCCAGTGAAATGGCTTACGAGAAAGGAAATCTCCATTTTTCTTCCCTCTTAATGTATTTTGCCGATCCTTCATTACATAAACGTTGTATGTCTGTGTAGTTAGGACGAAGTTCAGTTCAGATCACCACTGTCGATACCTAACAATTTCTTTCTTTCTTTGTTTTGAGACAGAGTCTTGCTCTGTTGCCTGTGCTAGAGTGCAGTGACGTGATCGTGGCTCACGGCAACTTCTGCCTCCCAGATTCAAGCAGTCCTTCTGCCTCAGCCTCCCGAATAGCTGGGATTACAGGCATGCACTACCATGCCCAGCTAATTTTTGTGGATTGTTTGTTTTGTAGAGACAGGGGTTTCACCATGTTGGCCAGGCTAGCCTCAAGTGATCTGCCCACCTTGGCCTCCCAAAGTGCTAGGATTACAGGCGTAAACTACCGCACCCAGCCTGATCCCTAATAATTTTTAAAACTGAATCTGTCCTTAGGAGTTTGAAACATCAGATTTATAAATCAATGTGTAGGGCAGAGAAGAAAATGTTAGGGGGACACATACAAGATTGCCATCCAGGGTAAATTTGTTTCATCAATTCCCCTCCCCACTCCTTCAACAGATTTCAGCCCTAGATTGCTGCTTCTCTTATGAAAAGGCAGCTGTGTGTGCTTTTTCTTACCCTGTGTTTGGTTTCTGTTAGGTACAGGCTTTCTGTTGGCACCAACGAGAAGATCCAGCTGAGTTCCCTCATTGCTGCTTTTCAAGTCACCAGAGACCTGATTGTAGCAGAGGCCTAGATGCTCCGAGGGCTGTTCACAATTCTCAGGGCTCGGCAGTGAAGGAAGAGCAGAGGACAGTTATGGGATGAACTGCTGCCTGGGGCCGTGGGATGAACCAGTCACCCCATATCTTGGAGAACTCCCTTCTAGGCGAGGATGGGCAGGCATTTAAAAAATACCATTTTTGTGGTGATTTGGAGCAGGGATGTACAAAATAATTTTAATGTGTAACTCACATTACACTGCCCGTCTTTCATAGGGAAAAAATAACCTTTTTAATTTTAAAGTCATAAGGCTTTCACCTTTTAGTTGCGTGGATGACAGGGAATTAGCCTGCCCCATTTTGCTCTGGAACAGAAGGCTTTCAAATCTAATATGGTCCAAGTGTCTTCCTACCCAAGGTAAACATCGTCTCCAGAATTACATTTATGATTCTAATATTTGGCATTGTGTCTGTATCTAATTTAAATAGATGTTAATGGCTGTCTGGCCAAAAATGGGCTGGATCCTCTTACGTTAAAAACTCATCTTTTTATTTACCCTCTGGTAGAAGAGTTCCCAGCAGGTTCCAAATTGATGTGGATGACAAGAAAGAACTTTAAAGATAATATACAGCCTTAAACGATGCCATTGTGGGCCAGAGGCTGTGTCAATCACAGTTGTTTAATGCAAGAGCAGGGCAAGTGAGACTGAGCCTGACTCTAAACCTAGAACTGCAGGACTGGGACTTCTTTTGTACAGATTTAACATTTATTTTACAGCAATCATACATTTGTGTTAGTGTTCTTTAAAATAAAAAACAAAGCAGCCTGCTGGCTGTGTTACAAGTGACTCTTCTTGGACAGCCAGAAAGATGCTGACTTTGTCAAACCTGCCTTTATATGAAATCCTTGTCTCTCTAATATCACAGAATAAACTTTCTTTGGATGCTGTTTTTTATATAAATGTTAGACTGTCAAATGGAAAAAGTCACTTATTCCCTTTATTCGTGGAGGATTCACCCCCTTAAGGACAGCAGCAAAGTTTGAAGCTAAATCTGACAGCCAATCAGGCCTCAAACTACCCAGAGTCTCAGCCTCTGCTATACCTGGAACTCCAAGAAGTTTACCATAAAATGCAAACGCCAGTCAATCCAGTCCCAGCTCTTCTGCTAGGCTACTTACATGTTTATTTTTTGAGGCAGGATCATGCTGTCACCCAGGCTGCAGTACAGTGGCACAATCATGGCTCACTGCAACCTCCATGTTCCAGGCTCAAGGAGTTCTCCCATCTCAGCCTCCTGAGTAGCTGGGACCACAGACACATGCCACCATGTCCGGCTAAATTTTTGTTTCTTTTTGAGATAAGGGTCTTGCTCTATCACCCAGGCTGGAGTGCAGTGCTGCAATCACAGCTCCATTGCATGGCTCACTGCAGCCTCAATGGCTTGGTCTCAAGCCATCCTCCCACCTCAGCCTCCTGAGTAGCTGGGGCTACAGGTGCACACCGCTACCACACCCAGCTAAGTTTTTTGGCTACCTTTTTTTTAAATAGAGGTGGGGTCTCATCTCACTGTTGTTCAGGCTGATCTTGAACTCCTGGGCTCAAGCAATCTTCCCACCTCAGCCTCCCAAAGTGCTGGGATTACAGGCATGTGCCATCACGCCCAACCCTGCTTGTTTTAAAAGGGGATTTTTTTTTTTCTTAATGGGGAAAAAAAAATGAAACAGAGCCAAAAGCTTTTAACTGTTTTTTTCTTTCCTTCAACGAAAGCCTCTCATTTTGAAAAATGTTTTTCTTCAAGCAACAAAGGTGGTAGAGGAAATTCCTCAACTTTCTCTACAAGTCATGTAACGTTACACTGGCCTCCATAAAGCACCGTTTAAGAAAGCTAAAGAATAAGATGTTGTATCTCTTAAAATAATTTAAAATATATTAAACTTTCCTAAGGCAGATTTTGTTTGAATGAGGTGTCTTGATTAGATAACTACATGCCACTGAAGGAGAACAGTACTTTTAAGGGGCTATTTTTGTTTCACGGTAGAGCTGAAACCAGCCGATTAATCGAATGAAGTGAAACAGCAGAGACGGATCTCGTACATGAGTATCAGCTAAAGTCCTAACAACACCAGTTCTTTACACAATGAAGACATCTTTGCAACTGTTCAATTTAAGTACTATGGTTTTTAGATAGCGAGAAAAACACAGTTGTACCTTAACATCTGTTGAGAAAATACAAATAAATATGTTGCTAATAAATGGCCACTGATAACTCAGTAGCCATCTGAATAGTCATGCAGTTTAAGAATACATCCTTGTATAATCTGACATACAAATTTGTCATCTCCTGCACATGCACACCATTGTTTAAAAAAAAAAAAAAGCCAGTAATAGTGTCTGGATCAGCCAGGAGCACAGCCTCTGATTCCCCTGTAACTTAGTGAAGCTAAATGATACCTCATACCAAATGGCTCCAGGAAAACTGTCCTGCAGGTCAGAAGGGAGCCCCAGAAGAAAAGCACTTTGGCCAACGTCAAAGCAACTGCGACCACAGCAGGAGAGAACTCGGACCAACGCTACCACTGCATCAGAAACACAAGGACAGGTACTAGGCAGGAGCCATCCTTCCCAGTGGAGGGAGTTTGAGCTGCTCTGCCACTAGAGAGGCTCTGGGGGCCCACTTACTTATATAATCAAAACAACAGTAACTGCACTTTGAATCAAAACGACTAGAAAGAGATCAACACTTGCTGTTTGTAACTGGAATGAAGATGGAAGGTAAGGCTCTGTTGCCGCACAAGTGGAATCTCCTCCTCTACGACTGACTTTCACATGCCAGGGAGAGAAAGATCCATGACTAGTACACTGGAATCTGGTTTTGCTACATTCTATTCACAATTCCGAAGAAATGCTATTTCGATCCAAGACCAGATGTTTGGCCCATTATTCCAACAACTCCTTTGCCAGGCAGATTTATCCTGTTACAAACAAACATAAGATGTGGCGTTGCTTAAAAAGTCCTGTATGTGAGGAACTCTTTCATTTTCTTGGGGATAGGCAGTGCTAGGACTTGGTAAGTTGTTAAGAAGCTTCGGAGGGCTTTCCGGCATAAGTGCTTCAGTGAGGATAGGACCCTAGGAGCTGTCCAGAACTGGACGTGGCCATCTCTTGTCCTGAAATGAAACAGAAACCGACGCTGTGTTAAGACAGAGCTTGGATGTTCGTTCATGTTTTCACTGTGATGGATATTAGTATTTCTACTTTGACTGGAAAGAGGAGGAGCCTTCACAGACTGAAACGTGTAATCCTGACCGCGGAAATGGATGTAAAAGTTGTGCTGCTGAATAATTAAGGCTGTTGATAGGATTATAGACACTCAAGATACCTTTGATACCAAAGTGCTCTCTCAGCACAGCCCTTTCTAAATCTGACCACTGTTACTTCAAAAGTAATAGAGTGCCACCTACTGAATTATAGATGTTACCTGTAAAGTGGTCTTTTAGCCCTAAATGGTTTCCCATATATTATGCATCGTCTCAATTTTATTCTCCTTTGTGAACCTGGCCCATTAGGTGGCATGACTTACAGGTCTTTAATTACAGTTAGGTTAAATATTCAGAGAAAATGGCACACTGTATTAGCAGAATCGATCATTTGAGTTTTATATAATCTTGAATTGCCTTAAAGGTATCCTCATAGGCAAGAAAATTCTAGATGATTTCTTTCCTTAAAAAGCTACATGATATACTCAGCAGAAACCACCACCCATCTGTTCCGCTAGGATACGTACCCTGTGGCAATGACTCCACCATGTGGAAAAAATGTGCAGCAAAGACCATTGGTCATAGGAGCAAATGCAATTGGAGTTTTCAATTCCAGGGCCCAGATCCTGAGGAGTCTGGATGGGGAGAAAGAATATCCACACATTAGCTGACCCAGGGCCAGACCAGGAGGGGCTTGCTGCCATTACTTGCATGCACCTGCTCTGAGGCCACATAAAGAGAGTTCTCTTCGTTACCTGTCATCTGCCACCGTGGCAAGGTACAAGCCTTCCGGAGAGAAGCACACAGATCTCAGTGAGCTAATGTGGACATCACTGTCGTCCATGGCAGGGTCAACCTGGGTGTGGCTGAGAAGGAAAGAAACAGGATGGCAGGCCTGGAGTGACAGCTGCTCTCCACCTTCCATCATCACCCCAGGCAGGAAGTCAAACTGCCCTGGCCACCAAAGGGCTCAAGATGCATTGTGTGCCCCTTGTGGAAAAGCTTGGGATTTTACACACTAGGAAAAAAAGGGCATCTCAGAAGGCTCCAGGTGTCCTGTGGAGGGGCTGAAGGGTTACTAACACTTCCTTGTGCTAATTTGCTTATGCAAAGTAGGTCAGCTCTCACATTAATGCCACAGTAGAAACTGCAAGTCTTTTTTAGGCGAAGATACATGATAATTATAGGACTGCCTATTATTTGCTTCATGAAACAACAGAGACAAAAGGAAAAAGGAGACCAAGTTTGTCAGAACATGAAACTCATTTTGGAAAGCACAGTTTCGATAAGAGGCTCTTTCTGAACTTGTTACTACAGTTATTAGTAAATGGAAATAAAGAGTCATATTGAGGCTTCATAATGCTGATTCCAAAGAAGTACACACAGCCGCCTGAATCGGGAGACTGGAAGACACTCAGAGCTAACAGAGAGGGCTTAATTGACAATGCATCACAAGAAAGGATGAACCAGGCCAGGCGGGGTGGCTCATGCCGTGATCCCAGCACTTTGGGAGACCGAGGTGGGTGGATCAACTGAGGTCAGGAGTTCGAGACCAGCCCGACCAACATGATGAAACCCTGTCTCTACTAAAAATACAAAAATTAGCCGGGCATGGTGGCACACACTTGTAGTCCCAGCTACTCAGGAGGCTGAGGCAGGAGAATCGCTTGAACCTGGGAGGTGGAGGTTGCAGTGATCCAAGATTGCACCACTGCACTCCAGCCTGGGTGACAGAGCGAGACTCCGTCTCAAAAAAAAAAAAAAAAAGAAAAAGAGACTCACTGTGCCGCCTTCTTA